ATATGGATGGAGCAAGCAGGCAAGCCGTTCTTCTGTTTCCACCATCTACTTCTCTGGCCCTGGAACTCAACAAAAAAGCTCCTAACAGCTCTGATTCCCCAACACAGGGTTATGGGCCCTGACACGTGCGCGGTGAGCAAAAGGAAAAATAGCTTTAAAGGATTGATTGAAAAAGGATCAGAGGAAGGTTCTCAAAGAGGGTTTTTTTGCCTTTTGATTTTGGAATATTTTGGAATAAACACATTGGATTTTGGAATAAACAAATTGGCTTTTGGAATATTTTGGAATAAACACATTTCGGAACTTTTCAGCTTAGTCGTGTTTTTAGTCGTGTTTTTAAGGCTGCAGGTTCTCATGCACATATTTTAGAAAGTGATCTGTATTCAGCATCGCAGAAGCCTTCTTTCCAAAAGAGACCATTCCCATTATGCAGGGCACAGTGCCGAGTCCACAGGATTTGTGCGGAATACTGTAACATCATAGTATTTCCTTCTCGCCATTCTTTTTCACTTTGCCTTTTCAGGAGGGAAGAGTCACCAGCGATCCCACGGATCCCTTGCGTCACGCCGGAGACGGTACTGATCCGGCCTGAGGAGCCAGAGCAGGTGGGCACTGGGCTTAGCCAAATTTTAACCCCTTCATTTCTTGACCAGTTTCATCCTCTGAATCCCCCCACCTTCAGATTCCAGGCTAGTAGTGACCTCAATTCGGGACGTTTACAGCTCATCGTATCTGAAGTTCCTTTCCCAGAAAAGTCTGCCTGGCACCAGACTTGTTCTCTTATCATACTTGGGAAATAACATTTTTTGTATCTGTATGTGTGGAGATTGGTGGGGAAGAGACCTGTCTGTAGGAGCTCAGCCGATTGGGGTTGTTGCTGTGCCTCAAGATGAAGATTATGGTTATGTTCAATCTCCTTCAGAGCAGGACCCTTCAGAGATTTCCATGTTGGATTTTCATCATCATCATCATTTGATTACTTATTAATCGCCCTCCATCCAAGATGCTCTAGGCGATTTACAAGCTGAATTGTCAAGGATAAAAATACATACATACAGATATTGATAAAATTAACATAGATCAAAAGCTCCAGTAAAAAGCCAGGTCTTAAGTGCGAGAGTAAAAGGCCCTAACTCACACATGGCTCTCATGTAGGGTGGCAAGGAATTCCACAAGGCAGGGGCAGAAATAGAGAAAGCTCTGCGTCTGGTCCTTTCCAAGTGGACCTCTCTAGGACCCGGTATATAAAGTAAGTCACGTTGGGATGGTCATTGTGACCTCCGATGATGGGAGAAGGAGAGATAGGTAGGGTGCCAGTTGCCTCGCTTGTTGTAGATGGGAAAAGGCCTGTTTGCTGGCAGCAGCGACCTGAGCTTCCATCGTCAGCTGCGAATCCAAAACGACACCCAAGCTCTTAATGGTAGGCGAAGGAGATAGGGCAGCACCATCGAAGGTGGGTAGCAAATGGGTCAGACCAATCGAGCAGTCATGCCAGAAAATCTCAGTCTTTGCCAGGTTCACCTTCAGTCTACTAGCACGTAGCCAGTTCGATAGAGCCTCCAGACATAAGGTGAAATTGTCTGGTATTGACATTGCTCCAGGCTCCAAACGCAGAAGGAGTTGG